TGGGCTCGGTACAGTCTGTTAAGATGCCAAGCATGTGGAGCTGTATGCACTTTGCTGGCCACTCTAGGTGGCAGAGAGGATTTCAATAGTCAGAAGAAAATACTTCTGGTAAGCTGGGGGCAGTGGCTCATGCCTATAATCCTTGCACTCTGGGAGGTGAAGGCAGGTGGACTGCTTGAGCTCAAGTGTTTGAGACCATTCTGAGCAAGAGAAAGACCCCATCTCTAAAAAAAATAGCCAGGCACTGTGGCAGGTGCATGTAGTCTCAGCTACTTGGGAGGGTGAAGCAAGAGGATCGCTTAAGCCCAAGAGGTTGAAGTTGCTGTGAGTTATGATGTCACAGCACTCTACCTAGGGCAACAAAGTGAGACTCTGTCTCCAAAAAAAGAAAATACCTCTGGTAGTATAATTTTAATGACTATCGAAGAAAAACAGGAGCCAGGAAGGTAGTTACCAAATAAAACCACGGAGGCAACTGTCTCCTCCACCAACTCTGAAAAGTCCATTTCAAGGGATTTAATATGTATAAAGATAATAAGAAAAATTATTTTATTCAGTTCTTTTTTTTTATTCAGTTTTTAGTAAATAGCAATAACTGTTATGTGCTAAATCGTGTTACCTCATTTAATCCCTGAGACAACCCAGCAAGTTAAAGTTATGGTTATTGCCAATATTTTGCAGAAAATGAGGTTCTGAGAGGTAAGGAAATTTACACAGTGTTGCCCAGCTAATGAGAGGCAATGGAAAAGTCTAGTCTACAGACCAGAGGGTCTTTCATCCCTGTGCTATAAGATAGCCATAGCAGCAATGATTCAACAACAGAGCATTCAAGACGTTTGGTTTGGGTTTGTAGTTTTCTAATGTAATTTTATTACAGACTAGTCATGTCAACAAAAAGTGAGAAAGTACCTGTTTGTTTGGTTTTTTTAGAGACAGAGTCTCACTTTATAGCCCTCAGTATAATGCCTCACAGCAACCTCCAACTCCTCGGGCATAGGCGATTTTCTTGCCTCAGCCTCCTGAGTAGCTGATTACAGGCACCTGCCAAAACACCCAGCTATTTTTTTGTTGTTGCAGTTTGGCTGGGGCCGGGTTCAAACCCGCCACCTTCGGTATATGGGGCCAGCCACTAAGCCACAGGCGCTGCCCCAAGCACCTGGGTTTTAAATACTTTTTTCTTCTGTTTATCTTTCCACTAAAACTAAAAACAAAAACAAAACCCTTTCCTCCAACTTGGATCCAAATCACATTTCTTAGAATCCTCTGAAATACTTGCCCCGGATTTCTCCAAAGCCAAAGGACTCTGTTATTTCCCCATCTTTATGAAGAGTAAAAAAAAGTAGTGATTAATTATTTCTCTTTACTCACTATGTTTGTAAGAGCTTTTATTCCCTCTTAAACATGAATTTTAATTTTTTAAGTAAACAAAATAACCACTTATCAGTCTCTAAAGTGGGCAATTCTTTTCTCCGACGGGCTGCAGCAGAAACATTAAGGGAATTTCTGCAGAAGGGATTACTTGCTTCATAGGAATTGTTTGTCTCACCTGTGTGCCTTCTCTTCCTAAGTCTGTTATCAGTGATTTTTCATCAGGGAAGCCTAATTATTATGGTTCAAACTCCAACTTGCTACAGTAAAGATATTTCTACTCCTTGCCACAGTTTCTTTATAATATTTGCTCTTTACACAACCCATTCTTAGAATCTCAGAGGTGATGGGAGATAGTCTAGAAAGATTAGAATGATCCCATTGGCTTTGTGAAAGCTTGGAAACAGGCACTTGGAAAACTAATAAAACTCCTCAAGACCAAAAACAATTAATTATTCTGCCATAAGCTCTTAGCACCTGTAACACGGTCTGCTTGGCACATAGTAGGCACTTGATAAATGTTTGTTAAACTTTTAAGCTGATGGCAGCCTAAGATGTCAATAGGAACACCAAAACAAGGCCAAGGTATCTGATTTGTGAAATGGGGAAGAAGATTTATGACTTACAGATTTATGACTCAGTATTTTGTAATTTTCTGATTCATGGTTTGAATTTTGTGGATAATTTTAGATCAGGGTTAGCAAACTTTTTCTCTGAAGGGCCAGACAGTAAATAACGTAGGCTTTGTAAGCCAGCTCTATGTGTTCTCTGCTGCAGTTACTCAGCTCTGCCTTTGTGCTGTGAAAGCAGCTCTAGACAATGTATGAGCATGGCTGTGTTCCAGAAAAATTTTATTTATGAAAATAGGCTGCAGGCTGGATTTGGTGTGAGGTCCATTGGTTTACCCATTCTTGATTTTAAGGGTTGAAATTTAATGGACTTCATATCAAATGATACTTTGTGAGTCAATTTCCCATCTTAAAACAAAATGATCATATAAACAAATCTTTAAATAGGTGTGGCTTTTGCAACCATTAATGTAGGTCAATGGATTTGGTATGTAAGTGGAAAGTAGAGAGGCAGAGATTGCATTCTGTGAGATCTCCTGTTAATCTGCTAGTTTAAGATGTTGGCTGTTAAGAGGTATAAAAGTATAAAACCTTTTGGCCCAGTAATTTCTTTCTCAGAGAACATCATAAGAAGTAATCAGTAATGAAAGCAAATATTATGTACAGATGTTCAACATATATCATTTAAAATAAAAATTTATAAACCATTGAAATGTTCAACATTAGAGGAATGATTAGGTCTGTTATGATATGTCCACATGTATCTGGTTACCAGTCTACATTTTTGAGGCCTGGGGCAAAAGGACATAGGGAGGCCCACATAATATATATCTAAATATTTTAAAGATATAAATCAAGCTAACAGACTGCTAAAGTATGTTTCATTCTTCTACTTTGACACATGCACCTTTTTAATGACCTGGAAGGCCAGCTTTAAATTTAGAATTCCCAGTCTCTTTGGAATTCCATGTTGGAATGTGGTAGTTTGGGGAGAAGCAGCCAGGCTCCTATTCTTCCTGGTTCTGTTGCAGCCCGTAGCAAAAAGAGCCTTATACAACCCTCACATCCGAAATCCATCAATACCCTCTGACCCCTGGCCCCTCAACCTTGTGCAGTGTGCCCTCAGGGGATAGGCCTGGGTAGAAGGGCTAAGTAGGGCCTTTTGGTCATGGTATTTCAGGATTCCACATACCATGAGAATGAGAAGGATGAGAATCATCTAGAAGGCTGGCTCAAACTCAGCCTGGACACAACCTCCTTTCTCCATGGACCCCTCAATTCATGGGAGGTATAGGATCAGAGAAAGGGCCAAAGAAAGGTTGCTGTAAAACACAGCATCCAAGACCAGGGAGCATTTGCCTAGTTTAAGGCAATACTATTATGCCCATTACAATGGATAGCAAAAGGTTTTAATAACAAGAGGAAGATTTTCAAATGATTTTAGGTGAAAGAGGCTTAGGAGTAATATGCACACTGATATCAATTATGTGAAAGAAAATTGCACACAATAAAACCTGAAAGGAAAGCAGAACGCAAAAGAAACATGCCAAAGTGTTCCGTGCAGTTGCCTCTGAGCGCTGAGATTAGAGTGATTTTTTTTTTTAAGATACTATAACTTTTTTGCTCAGTGCCTGTGGCTCAAGTGGCTAAGGCGCCAGCCACCTACACCTGAGCTGGCGGGTTTGAATCCAGCCTGGGGCTGCCAAACAACAACAAAAAATATCCAAGTGTTGTGGCTGCACCTGTAGTCCCAGCTACTTGGGAGGCAGAGGCAGGAGAATCACTTGAACCCAGGAGTTGGATGTTGCTGTGATTTGTGATGCCACAGCACTCTACCCAGGGTGACAGCTTGAGGCTCTGTCTTTAAAAATAAAAAAAAGATACTGTAACTTTTTTTCTGTTCTGTTCACCATATTTCCTATAATGATCATGTTTTGCATTGATAATCAGAAGAAAAATAATTTAAACATGTAGAACACTTTCTAACATTTTGGCCACGAGCGTTAATAAATGCAGCACTAGTGTAATTGCTTTTCTTTATCTTTTTTTTCTTTTTTTAGAGACAAAGTCTCACTTTTTACCCTGGGTAGAGTGCCGTGGTGTCTTAGCTCAGAGCAACCTCCAACTCTTGGGCTTAAGTGATCCTCTTAGCTCACAGCAACCTCCAACTCTTGGGCTTAAGCCATCCTCTTGCCTCTCAATCTCCCAAGTAGCTAGGGCTACAGGTGCCCGCCAAAATGCCTAGTTTTTGTTTGTTTGTTTGTTTTGTTTTAGAGACTGGGTCTTGGTCTTGCTCAGGCTGTTCTTGAACTCCTCAGCTCAAGCAATCACCCGCATCAGAAAAAAAAAGATACTGTAACTTTTTTTCTGTTCACCATATTTCCTATAATGAGCATGTCTTGCATTGATAATCAGAAACATGTTTTGCATTGATAATCAGAATCTTGCTCAGGCTGGTCTTGAACTCCTCAGCTCAAGCAATCACCCGCATCAGGTGCTAGGATTACAGACATGATTAATTCTCCCAGAGTGCTAGGATTACAGACATGAGCCCCTGTGCCTAGCCTTTATCATTGTTTTAAGGAGATTTTTACTCTTCTTTTTGATCTTTAAAATAGCATTTATTGCTTTTTATTGTAAAAGTCTTATAATGAAGAATGTTTTAAGAGAAAGCAGTGTGGGACGAAGGGAAGAGAGGGCATATCTTGGTTTGGAGTTCATTCTTACTGTTTACTATTTATGTGAAGTTGTGGAACTCTTCCAACTTCTCTAGACCTCAAATTCCTTTTTTTTTTCTTTTGAGGCAGGGTCTCACTCTATCACCCTGTGAGTGCAATGGCTTCAGCCTAGCTGATAGTGATCCTCCTGCCTCAGCCTCCAAGTAGTTGGGACTATAGATGTGCACCAACATGCCTGGCTTGCTTTTTGTAGAGACGGGGGTTCTCCCTCTTGCTCAGGCTAGTCTCGAACTCCTGGCCTCAAGTGATCCTTCCACTTTGGACTCCCAGATGCTAGGATTACAGGTGTGAGCCACCCCACTTGGCTGCCAAATTCCTTTTTTGGTGTCAGTGAGGTATCTCCAGTAGATCGTTCTGATCCTCACTGTGGTCTCAGTAGGAGGGAGATGAAGACAACAGTGCCTGAAAAACCAATGTAGCCCTCTGGCCTACCTTTCCTACCTAACCATGCACCAACGCAGCCCTCAGTGTCTGGGGCAGTTGGTGCATGGTTAGGTAGGTAAGGTAGGCCAGAATCTGCTTCTGTCCTCCTGGGCCTGATGCCACAGCCTCCCCAGTTCCCTGATGTATGTCCCAGGTATGTTGTGAGCGGTCATGTACTGCAAAAGCTCGAGGAACTGAGCAGCGCCTGTGCACACACACACCCTCACTGAGTCCCCTTGGGAAGTGTAGATATGCAGAATGGGTCTCTGAAAGGATATTCAGAAATAGACTAAAATAAAATTCTTTTTTTGGAAAAAGGAGATGATAATAGCTACATCATAAGATGTTTACGGGAGTCATTATAATAGCACATAAAGGAACTTGGGCCATCAGTATTGCTCTCCTATCTCCATTCTATGACTTATATAAGCTAGGAGTAAGAATAGAGATGTTCCCTGCCTATCAGGATTTCTGTAAGTTAATGGGAAAAATAACACATAAAACATATAGGAATCAACTGGAGAGAAAACAAAACACAAATGTAGAGAGTATAACTAAGACAGGGCGATTCATGGTTGTGGGGACCACTGGAAACTTGCTTTTTTTTCTGGGTCTGGTGAGAGTTTCACCCAAGTAGGTGAAGTTTATGCATGTATGTTAAGATAATTCAAATCAGAAGATTTAAACTCAGAACTCCGGTCTCCCAGAGACTATGACTAGAGTTCCCTTGGATTTATTTGTTAACTGGATAGAAGGACACAAACAATAATCTCTTCAAAATTAACTTAGAGGCTAGGTGAAGGATATAACTATTAATTTTACTGTAGAATGAGTTCCTATAGTCTGCTTATTGCAGTAAACAAGTGGAACACGTTTGTGACAAGCAAAAAGCAAATCAGCCATGTTCATACTGGTGTTAAATTTAAGATATCAGCAAACTAGGGCATGAGCAATTTCTCTTTGTTCCCGTCGTTGTTTAAGTGGTTGAAGAGTCTGGCTCAAATAATAAAAAACCAGAAAAGGTGTGATATTATGTTAGAATACTCTTAAGATTACAACTGAAATTTGTCTGCCAGATCTTTTTGTCCCTGCCAAATGGCCATGAGTCATTTTGAAGGTGGCTGAAGGGACAAAGCTAGGATTAATGGGCAGAACTTCAGGCACAGAGATTATTATTACTGTCCTAGCACATGCTTTTGTGTTCTTAGGACTTTCTGAGAATGAGTCCCAAGTTACTTGGCAGTAAAAAGCATCTCCTTACTACTGGAATGTTACAAAAGACAGTAGGTAATATTTCCAGAAGTTGTTTTAAGTTGTTAAGAAGTACCTATGTATAGTAAATACAAAGTTACACTGCCACTAATGTTACCATCATTTGTTACTATGAACTTAAAGAAAATCAACCTTGTTATCACTGTTTCTTAACAACTAGATATAAGTTTATTGAAATAGGCTTCTTCTTTTCTAATATATTTTTAAAAATTCCCAGTCCAAGCCAGGTGCAGTGGTGCATGGCTGTAGTCCCAGCTACTTAAAAGACTGAGGCAGGAGGATTACTTTAGCCAAGTTGATTGAGACCAGCTGGGGCAACATGGCAAGACCCTGTCTCAAAAAAATATTTCCTGTCCAAAGTTATATAATGAATACTTTTTCTTCCATTCTTGAGATACTTTGCTAAGAAGAATATTTTCCAGCTCCATCCACGTAAACATGAAGGAGGTAAAGTCTCCATCTCTCTTTAAGGCTGCATAGTATTCCATGGTGTACATATACCACAATTTATTAATCCATTTGTGTGTACTCAGCCCTACTATGAAACTAATATATAGCTTTCATAGGAAATCTGTAACCCAATTTTAGCCCAAGAATGGGGAAAGGGGAGAAGGAGAGGAGGGGAAGGGGGAGGATGGGTGGAGGGAGAGTGTTTGGTGGGACCACACCTATGGTTTATCTTATATGGGTACATGTAAATCTTTCTAAATGTAGAATATAAATGTCTTAACACAATAACTAAGAGGATGCCATGAAGGCTATGTTAACCAGTTTGATGAAAGTATTTCAAATTGTATATAAAACCAGCACACTGTACCCCATGACTGCATTAATGTACACAGCTATGATTTAATAAAAAAAATTTAAAAAAACCAAAGTTACATAATGTTTTAAAAAATTCAAAATCATTGTATAATAATTGCATAATTATAAACAAATACTAGTTTATCAAATGTTTTTCATGTGACCAAGAGATATGACCTCCTGCTCGTGTTCCTCCTGGTTATAAAGTAAAGCCATTGAGCTAACCTGCAGCCAGTTTGGGTTCTGCCACTTACATCTGGGTAACTTTGGTTAAGTCCCCAACCCTGCTAATCTGTTTCCTAAGACAGAAAATGGGAATAAGTCTGGGCGCAGTGGCTCCCTGTAATCCTATAATCCTAGCATTTTGGAAGGCTGAGGAGGGAGATTGCTTGAGCTCACAAGTTTGAGAACAACCTGAGCCAGAGTGAGACCCCCCCATCTCTAAAAAATAGCGGGGTGTTGTGGCAGGTGCCTATACTCCCAGTTACTTGGGAAGCTGAAGCAAGAGAATCGCTTGAGCCCAGGAGTGAGGTTGCTATGAGCATTGACACCACAGCACTCTACTGAGGGCAATGAAGTAAGACTCTATCTGAAAAAAAAAGAAAAAAGAAAAGAAAATGGGGACAAATCATATCCCTCAGGATTGGTGTAAGGGTTAAATGAGATAACACTGTGAAAATAGCCATTTCAGAATATAGTATGCAGTAAATATTCAACAAATGTCTAGAGAATCTAAATCTTGTTTGATCAGGCTACAGCAGAAAAAGGAGTTAAGCATAAAAACAGCAAGAAGCAGTGGACTAATCCTTAAATCATGGCCGACTGGACATCTTATTGTTGCTTTTGTTTCCCCCCCAGATAGGTATAGACAGTGTACTGACCTTACTGGTTCTACTTTATCCTTTCTAAGTTCTTGTAATTATATGCCTCTCAAAAATTACTCTAGATCAGTGGTTCTCAACCTTCCTAATGCTGCGGCCCTTTAATACAGTTCCTGTGGGTCGTGACCCACAGGTTAAGAACCACTGCTCTAGATTCTTCTAGAGAACTAGTGTGACCAGGCCCACATCAGTGGGTTAAAATCCAGTGACAATCGGGTTCTACCAGAAGGTTGACAAACCTTACAATATCTAAATTTTGAAAACTCAAAATAATGTAGATCCAATGAGCATAAAATTCAGATACTTTTTTCATGCATAGCCTATTTTCTACCTTCATGAAGAGGAAGTAAATCACAAGTAAAGATGATTCCAAAGCAATTTGTGGGATGTGGTCAGATTCAGATTATAAGTACAGCTCTTTTAACTTTGTAGAAGTAATCAGCAGTCTCTCTTCTCTCTTTCAATATGAAATGTGTTCACCAGATGCCTGACGGCTAAATGATCATGCCTGTTAGGCTAAAATCTAATACCCCCACCATTTCTCCCTCTAGGAGTTACTAAACATGCCAGTTGTTACTGTAAATGCATACTTTAATTAGACATTAAATAAGCAATGAAATTTATTGTTTCTGTGCCATAGCTCTTTAATATAGTTCCTGTGGATCATGACCCACAGATTGAGAACTGCTGGCTTAAGCCCAAGAGTTTGAGGTTACTGTGAGCTTTAATACAGTTCCTGTGGGCCACAGCTCTCTACCAAGGGCACCATAGTGAGGCTCTGTCTCAAATAAATAAATAATAAAAGAAGTACAAATTAAAACTTCAGAGAGCTACTGGTTTTGTTCAATTAAATAATCAAAGTTCTAAGCTGGTGCATTGGTGTGCATTCATGGTCCCAACTACTAGGGAGGCTGAAGCAGGAGTGTCACTTGAGGCCAGGAGTCAGAGGCTGTAGTAGGCTTTGACCATACATGCTGTGAATGGCCACTGCATTCCAGCCTGGGCAACATAGTGAAATCCATCTCTAGAAGAAAAAAAAAAACATCAAAGTTTTAAAAGTTATAATAACATTCCATGGGTGAAGGTATTGTGAAGTAAGTGCTCTTATACATTGTTGGTGGGAGCATAAATTAATATAATTTCTAAGAGAGCAATTAGAGAGAGTTAATCATTGAAGCATTCTTGGCAATAGCAAAAGATTGGATACTCAATAGTGAATAAGAGAATTGGTTAAACTGCTTAAATCAATCATGGAATACTAAACAGCCAAGGAAAGGATGTGGACACTATATTCTAATATATAAATATCTCCTAGATTTATTATGAAGTGAAAAATAAAAAACAGAAGTGTTTGTAGTATGGCACCATTTGTGTCAATGCATATTATAATACATACATACCTATACACACACACATGTATTTATATTATAATTCTATTCTATCTCCCCTCAGACAAATAAACAAAAAACTGGTTGTAGTGGTTGTCCCTAAGGAGAGATATTGAGTGGGGAGAAAAGTAATTTTATGGTATTTATGTGTGTGTATGTTTGTGCATATATACTCATGGATAGTGTAAAGTGTATACTGCCTACTAAAATATTAATTTTTAAATGTTTTTATGAGAAATATATATATATAGCCCACATTATTGAGGAATAAAAAGTTCCTCATTTTTCCAGAGAGTCATGAATATATAGAATTCCTAAGTTATAAAGGATCTTTAGAACTTACTCTCTCTTTTTTTTTTTTTGAGTTAGAATCTTATTTTGTCACACTTGGTAGAGTGCTCTGATGTCAGAGCTCACAGCAACCTCAAACTCTTGGGCTCAAGCAATTCTCTTGCCTCAGCCTCCCAATTAGCTAGGACTACAGGCGGCCACCACAATACCCGGATTTTTTAAGAGATAGGGTCTTGCTCAGGCTGGTCTCAAACCTGTGAGCTCAGGCAATCCACAGGTCTTGGCCTCCTAGAGTGCTAGTATTACAGGCATGAGCCACCACACCTGACCTGAACTTACTCTCTTAAATAC